TGGATCGAGTGAGACACGCAGCGGGTAGCCCCGAACCATGGGGGCGATAAAGCAAAGCACAGGCGCCGCCCCCCCACCCCCCTTGGCTCTTAGGAACACTTGGCGCTATACCCATAAGCGGGAAGCCCGACGCCACTTTCTCCCACTAACTTGCTTTGACGTGAACCAGCGGGTTATGTATGTAAGCTTGATGCGCATTGTGCCTGGCTCTCGAACCCTCTCTTGGTTCCTTTTTTAACATGTGTACCTTTTTTTTCAATATAGATTTTTGCTTTTTTTTCCCTCAAGGGTGGTGATGCAGGAAAAGGAGGGGGGGGGGTGATGAATGCAACTCAACGAAACGTGGGCGCTTGGGGATAAACTTTTGACTTGTTATTTTTTTATAAAAAAAAAGAAGGGGGAGGGGGATTGCGATGAAGATATTAACGTTGCGATTACAGCCTTTTTTTTGTATAGTATGTGGATAGGGAGGACATTTGTGTTAAGCAGTGGGCAAAAGCACATCTGTATCTTTCTTGTTCTTTCCCCCCCCTTTTTCTTGCCACCATGCTAGCATGGTCGTTAGCGGTTTACTCACGCCCACGTTTCAAACACATCTTGGGGGGGGGCATGAAACATTATGCGCAAACTCTATGTGGATGCGCCGTCCGCTTCCCCTCCCCGCTCAACAAGCGCTACAGAAAAATGTCAGTTTTTGTCATTGCTCGCAATTGCCGAGAGACTCTCTATGGGTCTGGCCCTGTCTCTTTGGTACCTGATGCCACAGCACGTGCGGCTACGGTGGCTGCCATCTTGTCGTCATGACTGGCGACTAGCATGTAACCCAACAAGCAATACCTGTACTGCAGCCGCTGCATGACTGTCTGACACTACTGTGTTTTCTGCATGTCATTTGTAGGCAGAAGAAGAGAGACGAGCGATTAATAACATCCAATCATTCAAAAGACATATCACGCAAGAAACAATGGCCTGGCAAACAGAGGGTATCATTCTTCTCCTGCTAAACTAAACCCCTTCTAGCGTGTTCATCACCTCGCCTCGATAACATGTGTAAGAAGCTGACCCAGAGGGTTTAGTCCCTCGTCTGCCGTCAAAATACGCTTTGGTATCTCGAATTCCACTTCTGGCTCCTTCTTGAGATCGCGGTCTAGTTCAACGTCGAGTAGCTACAAGAGCTGTCAGTATCGAGTATATACCAACAAGAAAAAAAAACAAGATTTTCAGACTTACTGCAGTGTAGGAATGATCTAAAAAGTCCTCTAGGTTGTATGATCGTTTTGTGAATTGCTCAGAGATAATCTTGGCGAGTGTAGCAACATTGGGGTGGTAGTGTGATTGCAGAGCTACCAACTCCCATACGCTGCTCTCAATGGCATTGGTCAGAAAAGGGTCCGCTTCAGCCATATCAAACGGGTCATCCATGCCCTCTTCTTCTACCTCTTCTTTGAGTTCCGGATCCCGGATCTCGCGGTGCATCATGAATGTGCACGCAGGATGGCGTTTGAACATATTGTACACCCAGGGTATTACAACCACAATACCCGCTGGCGGGCCGTGGAGCGCCAAGCGCGACAAACGCTTGATGAAGCTTGCGACCAGAGTGGCAGGCAAGTGCGACGAGGACATGAAGGTGTCGAGGAGGCGGAAGAAGCGTGATCGGTGCTTCGAGTGTAGGAGACCATCGTCAAGAAGCGAGTAGAGCTTGTAGTAAAAGGAAGGGTAGTCGAGGTTCTTCTCCGAGATGAGATAGTAAATTCCAGACAGTGCGAGTAGCGATGTTGCACCACCTACGTTGTACGAATCGGTCAAAAAGTCTGACAGAATTTCGGGCTGCTGGAACCAAGGCGCAATCTGGTAGGAGAAAGTGGTCAAGATGGTCTTTCGCTGCTCCTTGGAGAGCCCTGTGCGCATCGTCGCCAGCCACGCTGCTTGGGCCTTCTCCTTGTACGCCTGAAGAGATGGAATCGGGCTCTTTCCCTGTACCTCGACGTAGAAATTCTGAATTTCGGCTTTGGATTTGGGGACTTGGTCGAGGGTGGAGAGTAGGGACATGCTGTTCGCAGCTACGAGTTCCTGGGTGGTAATGTCGACGTCTTCATCAAGTGTTTTTCTGAGCATGTTAGTACATGGTCTTCACTTTTAGGCATGGATGCACTCACTTGATAGTTTGGAATGTTTGATATCGAATATCATCAAACTGTTTGAGGTACTTCTCCGCAAACTCCTCGCGATTCAGGTCGTCCAAGGGGAGTTGCAGCAAGACTTCGATAAGACGAGGCAAAGGCCCGTTCTTGATCTTGTAATCTTTTTGCGACTTTGCCTCCTCCTTGACCAATCGCATCAGCAGTGTCAAGGCTACCGACTGCTTTGGAGGGTCCTCGCTGCGGAGGAAGTCGTCCAGAAGCATGTTGCAGAGTTCCCGGTAGCGCTCCTTGAGCCATGATACAATGACCCCCTCTGCCTCGCTCATGCCCTTGCTCTTCACCATGTCGCCTGTTACCAGTAGCCGCGAGAAGACTCGGCAAAGTGCAACGGCTGCCAGTATTGGGCCCTCATTCTCGGCGTCTGATTGCTTGGCTCGCTGCAAAAGAGTTGCAATGTTATTGTAATACTTTCGCGATTCGAGAATCTGGGCTTCGAGCTGTACGATTTCGGATTGTAGGTCGTCGCCGTCTTCGCTGGAGGACTTGCGCCGGCTTTTGGACTTGGATTCGCTGCGTTCGGGCTTGCTTGGGTCTCTTTTTCTCTTGACTCCAGACATTGCTGTGGATTTTGTACCCGCCATCTTCGTTTGAAGCTCGCTGCTTCGCGTGATGTGGAATGACGTTGAGGCGCAAAAAAGTTGTCAATGCCAAAAAGTCAGGCCCGGCCGGGCGAAGTTCGGTTAGCGCATCGGCGTCGGTGCTTGGCTCAGGTTTGGTACGCAACATCACGAAAAGCTAGCTCTCGACGACGACCAGCACCCCCCAACTGCACCCCTCATCAGACAGCCATGGCCTCACGTCTTGCAAGGAGCGCGGTCGGTGAGTAGCAGCGTTCCGATGAAGATGCGATGCCATTGACCCCATTGCTCACGCACAACAGGCGCCGCCCGTCTCCGCCCATCGCTTCCTCTCCGCGCCCTGCCCTCGATGGGCATGCAGGCCCGCTACAACTCCAACCTGCCCCAGGAGGACCCCAAGAAGAAGGCCCAGACCCTTCTCGACTCGATACCCGTCCCCGGCAACAGCCCCCTCACCAAGGCCGCCGTGCTCTCTGCCGGAGCCGGTCTCTCGGTCGCCGCCATCAGCAACGAGCTCTACGTCGTCAACGAGGAGTCCATTGTCGCTCTCTCTCTGCTCACCATCTTCTGGGCCGTTGCCAAGTACGCCGGACCTGCGTGGGGCGACTATGCGCAGCAGCAGTTGGACAAGATCTCGGGTATCCTGAACTCTGCCCGCCAGGACCACACGGCAGCCGTCAAGCAGCGCATTGAGAGCGTCCAGGACCTCAGCAGCGTCATTGAGGTCACCAAGACCCTCTTCGAGGTTTCCAAGGTGCGCTGGTTCCGTGTGGGAGATGGAGGGGTATCAGACTGACCATTTTCACAGGAGACCGCCCAGCTCGAGGCCCAGGCCTTTGAGCTCGAGCAGAAGACTGCCATCGCAGCCGAGGCCAAGTCTGTCCTCGACTCGTGGGTCCGCTATGAGGGTCAGGTCAAGCAGAGGCAGCAGCGCGAGCTTGCCGAGTCCATCATTGCCAAGATTGAGAAGGAGCTCGAGAACCCCAAGACTCTCAAGCAGATTCTTGACCAGAGCGTCGCTGACGTTGAGAGTGCGTTTTTTCTAACCGGAAACATAGATTCGAGTATCACATGCTAATCAATATACAGAGATCGTCTCGCAAAAGGCATAAGCGACCTAGCGCATCCAGCAGCCAAGTTTATCCAATGTTAGATCAATATGTGCAATAGTCAGACTCATTCAATGTAGAGTACCCTAGGCTGGGGAAATGGCCCAATAAATTTGATTGCGTCTTGAATGTCTATGCCACCTTGATTTTTGTTTTCTTTTCGGAGATGGGCGATGGGTTTATTAAATCTTGGTCAAAGTTCCTCTGGTGGGGCTTTGCTAGTCTTCTTGTAACCTGAACGTTTGATTGACTGACTACCCATTACCACTAAAGCATTACCACCACACAACGATAGGCAGTTCCAAGCGATCCAAGACATGCACAAGCCAATCCTCAGCACCATGGCAGGCAATATACACATCCATATCAGATAATGTCAACAAATCCCGAGAGAGAAGGAGAAAAGGGGAGGAGAATATGACAACAGGCTGCCAAGAGCGGGGCAATTTCACCGTGCCCGCGCCAGAATGCGCACTCCAAGCCATGCCGAGTCTGCCGCTACCATGCCAAACGAAAACAACCACTTTCTTGTTGTCTGTACCCCCTTGTTTCAAAGCATGATGAGGGAGGTTGTGGTAGATTGTAGTACAGGCCAAGTGCAAGGGAGGAGGGTTACAGGTTGAGCAGTCGATTGATCCCTTGTAGACGGGGGTATTATAGCAGAGAAAAGGGAGAGAGAGAGAGAGGAATAAGTATCTTGAGTGGATTTAGGTCAGCAGAGAGAGAGAGAGAGAACGAGAGCAGGTAAGCAATAAAAAGTATAAGAGGAAGAAGAAGAAGAAGAAGACTACTACAAGGCCAATAAAGGTTGTGGTAAGAGAAAGGGTATCGTTGGAACGTGATATGGTAAAGGGAGTGGGCACGGGAATAGGTAGCAGCCAAGCTACGGCCACCAGCCCATTCTCTTGTAGCTCTCAATAACCTCCTCGATCTTCTCCCTCGTGCACTTCTCCACGTTGTATCTGGCGTTGTGTTAGTATGTTGTTGTGTTACGTTGATTTGGCAGCTACGCCGAGGTGAGGGGGGTGGGGTAGCTTACTTGAACCCAGTTTCCTTCTCGAACAGGCTACCATCCATGCACAGATCCGCGTCTTTAAGCAGCTCCTTTTCCATATAAGGTGTCAGCGGTGTAGATTGGCTGATACCGGCCTTTGACTGCAGCTCTGCCCAGGGGTCTAGTGTTTCTTCGTTGACCTCGTCGACGACATGGTCGAGGTTTAGTCGTGCAAAGGCGGAGATGAGGGTGCCGTGGAAGCCAGTCTTGATATTGAAAATCTCGGCCATGAACTCAGCCGTGTGTTTTTGTGCTACAGGTAGTGTGAGTAATAGAGACAAACATAGAAGACAAACCAACAAGGGGTGAAACGTACAGGTATTACCGTGGTCCACAATGTTGAAGATGGGCGGTGGTCGGCGGGCGGGCGGTCCCTTGACATACCAATCCGCACCATGCCAGAGGGCCCTTGTAGCGTCCTCGATATGCACCAAGTTTGTCTTCATGTCTTCCTTCCAGAGGAAGCGCATCTCTTTGCCCATGCTCTGGTATACTCTCGCCATGCACAGCGCCGTACTGAAAAACTTGCTCGTGTAGGGGCCATAGACGTGAGCCACGCGCATAATCATAAGGTTCAAGCCCTCAATTTTAGCCAGGTCCTCCTCGGCCTTGAGCTTCCACTTTGCCAGATTCGACCAGGGTTTCGTCTTGTCAGTCTCCTTGTGGGGTATGTTCTCTGGCTTGTAGACCATGCCGGTACTAAGTTCAACGAAGCATTTTACTTTGCGCTTTGCAGCCTCGCGGCCAATGTTCATGGAAAGGCCATAGGAGCGGAGTTCGTAGACCTTTTCCTCCTGAGAGAAGCGTGTTTCGCCACCGCAGTTGAATACATAGTCGAACTCGCCGCCACCCTCACGATCGAATATCCGGGGCAGGGATCCTGGAGGGAGAAGTCAGTCTTGAATTGCCTTGTGGTCAGCAGACTTTGAGGGGGGAGGATTGTGTGTGTGTGTGTGTGTGTGTGTTATGGATAGCTGTGTAGGTGGTAAGCAAGGGATACGCACGTTCTTGTGCCGCGTCCGCCTGGATGAAGCGCTCCCTCGAACAGGCCTCCTTGAACTCTGGAGCCAGCCATGCCAACTCTGGCAGATGCTTGTCGACGATGCGTAATTGGGAAGCGAGGTTGTTGTCGTAGATGTACTTGCAGAGGTGTCGTCCGGTGTAGCCTGGCACAAGGTTGTTAGTCCTCTCGCGTCTTATCTCTGGGCGTGGGCGTGGGCGCGAGGGCAGCGTTACCGAGTCCGCCTATTATGAGGACCGCAGGCTTGTCTGAGGCCATGGTGGGCGTCGCGTCAGGGTTCGATCTACGCAGACAGAGTGCGCAACAAGATCGCTAGGAGAATTTGGGGCGACGCAGTGGGCGGATGGTGTCTTGTAATGTCAAATTCGGGGGTTGCGGGTCGCGCTCAATGCTCAACGCTCAGACCCCAGACGTGTGGTTGCACGAGACGGGCTGACAAAGGGAGAGGGGTGGCGTGTGTGCAGGCACGCGCGAGGCCTTTGGTTGCTCTCGTATGCGTAAGTAGGCAGCGGGCCGGCGTGGGCTTGGGCGGTGCGGTGCGGTGCGGTGCGGTGCGGTGCGGTGCGGTGCGGTGCGGTGCGGTGCAGTCTTCGCAATGGCCGGCGTGGGTTTGGGACGAGAAGGCTAGTGAGTGGCTTCCCACCAAGAGACAGAGGCTCAAAAGTGTAGGGTATCGCGGCACGACGATGTCATATAACCCTGGCCCAATCTAGCCGACTCATTGACCTGCAGCACGAGGCAGTCAGGCCGACAATGGGGAGCAGCAATTCTCTCGGTAGTCGAAGCCGTCCACGAGTCTCTTCGTATCGAAAAAACGGGACATTGTTCTCTCCCCGCCTGCTTCCTCCCTTGGCCCAATCTCACGCTGGAGTCGACTTCTGGGGCCGCAGCAATGGTTCATGTCTACTACTCTACTAGGCAGGCCACGGCACATGACGGCGCCTTGACAGCATGACGTTTGGCCTTGGCCGTGGAGGGGGGGAGCGTGCAAGCAGAGGCGGTTGCGGCGGGAGATGAACAGCAGTCAGGCGGGCGGTGAAGGGCGTGCCGGCGCGCTCCCGCAGTGCTGAAGCATACGTCTAGCAACCAAACCTCGGGTCTCATGACAGCCCAAAGTGGGGAGGCGTCTCAGGGGCAGGCCCCGTTGCTGAATGCTGGAGTCGTTGGGCTTCTACCAGGCCAGGCCTTGCAAAGAAAAACCTACTGGCAGCACCCAGCACCCGCCAGCCTTGCAACGGCCGCCTTCTCAGACGTCGGCCTGGGCAAGCAACCGTTGGCACCGGCCAGGGCTGCAAAAAGCAAATCACTGTGGAGCCGCTATGCCATGCGTCTGTTCGCCTTTTTCTCCCGCGTCTGGGGCGCGTCCCTATAGTTCAACGTCGGAGCGTGCCTGCATGGTCAACGCCAGGGCTGCCTCCGCGGAGCCTGCACACATCACACACGCCCGCCCACGCCCGCCACAGCCCACAGCTGCTCTTGGCGGGCCACGGTGACGGCGCCCCTTGGTCCCAATCCAGCCCTGATGGCTCTGGCCCGCCCAGGTACCAGTGACATTGCAAGCTTGCATGGTCCCGTGCATTGAGAGCCACCGCCAACGGCTGGTGACGCCATCCCCAAGCCCGTCGGCTAGTTTGCCCACAAACAAGCACCTGCGTGTACGTGTGGATAGCACGGACACGTACACGTACTACCCATGTCCCTCTGCACAACCGCTCTACTCTGACATCGCTTCGTTCGATCCAACACATGTCCCCCTCAAGCACCGCCACATGCCACTGTTTCATGCCTGGGCAGCATCGTCGGCGTCGACAGCAAGAACGGCTGTTCATGCACGGAAGCTGCAGCCCGTCATGATCGACCCGCACCTGCATAATGCACGCCTCCCCAATACACAAGCACATCATTTCTGCTCAAGGCATATACACAGTACACTACTAGCTGCTGTCACTGTTTCCTTTTCGTAGCCATGCAAATAACTAGTCGCCTAAATCATATGATAAACAAACTCGCAAACCATGCCCGCTGAACCCTGCCACCCACCTGCATACTCGACCTGCACAAGAGAGATGCCATGCTTTTTCTACACCCTCCTCACTTCACCCTTGTCCCACCACCCATCATGCTATATGTATGTATATATAACCCAAACCCCCCCCCTCTCCCCAACAAAAAAAATACACATAGACGAATCAAAACGCCTCTGCATGTTTCCTTAAAACTCCCAGTTCTCGTCGACTGACTTGATCGCCCAGTCAAACTTTTCACGCAACGTCTTGGAAAAGAAGCGCTCAATCGGCACATCAAACTTCTTGGAAAACACCACAGTGAGACGTGGATCAATGTAGTTCTGCACCCTGTCAGCAATCTCTTCCTAGACACCCATCCAGCCGGCCCACTTACAATCTTCGACGTGCCCAGGGCAACTTCCTTGTTGCCCTCCTTATCTTCCATCTGGATCTTCATGTTCTCAATTCGCTGGTGGAGCTTGTCGATGTTGCCCTCCAGCTTCTCAATCGTCGGGCCCTTGCCCTCGGCCTCAACCTTGCCCGTCTTGTTCTCCTTCTTGTACTTGGCCGCAAGCTCATCGGCCTTTTCAAGACGCTCCTCCAGCTCCTTGGGCTTCATCTCCTTCTCCCCTTCGGCCTTGAGCTTCTCGTTGTCCTTTTCAAACTTCTTGATGATCTTCTGACGCAACTCCTCAACCTCAGCATCCTGGTGCGCCTTGACCCACTCCATGTCGAGATCCTCGGGCCGTTCAAAGAACTCGGCTCCCTTCTTCTTCTTGATCTTCGGGTCCACGTCAATCATCATCATCTTGGTTCTCCACACTTGATAGCGAAGTCCATTAATCTACCCCTGTTAGCATAGCCTTCCCACACACACAGCATAAAACAAACTAACCTTCTCAGTCATCTTTTCAATCGAGTTGGCGTGGTTGGCAGCAACAGTACGCTTGTGGTTACAGAGAATCGCAACTTCACGGTTCGCATCATTGTAAGCCTTCACCTTCTCCTGGATAGTACCAGTAGGCTTCATCTCCTTCAGCAGCCTAGCCATGGTATACGACGCATTGTAGGTACGGAAGACCTTGGCAGTGAGACCAGGCATGTAGCTGGTCAGATGCTTGTTGAGCGCCGATGTCGTCAAGCGATCAAAAATGTCATCACCAGTCGTCTTGGGCTCCTTCTTGAACAGTTTCAAATTCTTGAACACCTGCGGATCCACCTTGACTTCATCGTAGAACCGAATACTGTCCTTACCCAGAAAGTCGAAGATGACCGTCTCAGGAGGCCTCAGAGTGATGTGCTGAAACTTGAGTGAGCAGCAGCCTACCGTATCCGCCTCGTCCTCTCCCTTTTCATTACCAGCACGAAGAGCGAACTGATCGATGAGGTAAATGGCAGTAGCACGCTGCCGATCGGCCATCATCTTGGAATTCAAGTCCTTGCGGTAATCCTTGCGGATACGGTCAATGTGCTTCTTGAGCTCTCGCGCCTTTTCAAACTTCTTGAAGTCACTCTGACCCTTGATATCCGAGTTGGCGGCAAGCATGACATACTTGTAGGCCCCGTTGATGTTTTCTTGCCACATAGCGAGCCATGTACCCTCATGGTCATGCTTGACCTCCTTCCAGCGATGACCCGCAGGCGGCTCAGGCACTTTGGCCTTCTCGCCAATGTTGATGGTGATTTGCTCGGGCATGACACGCTTCTTGACACGACCGGTCTTGGGATGCTCACCACGACCACGGAACAGGCCTGGCGGTTCGACGCGGAAGTTGCCGACCTTTTGCTTACGACCATCCCACATGCAGTACATGTACGGGGCCTCCGCAGCCTCCCTCTCGGCCTTGAGCGCCTTCTTCTCGGCTGCCGAGAGAGCCTTCTTCTTCGCGCGCTCGGAATCAAACCATTCAAAAATGGGCTTGAAGTCGCACTTTTCAAACTTCTTGATCTTGACAGTGTTTCCATTCTTGTCCTTGCCATGTCCGGTCTTGTCTAGGATGGCAGTGAAATCTTCAAAGAAGTTCTTGTTGAAGGTTGGGTTTTCGACGTTGTGCGTCGAGTTAAGCATGCTTCCGTAGAAAGTAGCTACCTCTTCGGCATCCTTGTGCAGCGTGACGGGCACGCCATCGTACACCAGTTTGACATGCTTGGGCAGTGGCTCGTACTCGGGAGGAAAGACAACACCAGAGTGTTCGAGGGTTTCCCACTTCCTGGTGCCGTCGCTCTTGCCTGGATCTTCCCACCAGCGATATTCGTCCTCTTCGTCTTCAGCCTCCTGGTCCTCTTCAATCTCCTTCTTTACCTTGCCTTTGCCCTTCGCTGGTGCCGCGGCGGCTGCTTTTGCCTTGGTGTTCTTTGGAGCGGACTTCTTGGCGAGTGGCGCATCTGAGTCCGACTCCTCTTTCTTGACGCCATTCGCCTTCTTGACTGGGGCCTTTTTCTTTGCAAGAGGGACATCATCCTCGCTATCGCTCTCTGCCTTTTGTTTGCGCTTTGGGGGTGCCTTTTCCTTGGTACGTATGGCCTTTGCCTCCTTTGCAGCAGCTTTCTCAATCGACTCTTTTTTCTTGGTGAGCTTCGTGGCTAGAGGCACGTCAGAGTCCGCCGACTCTCCAATCTGCTCCGCGCTCGCCTTGGGAAGTACCCTAGCCTTGAGAGGCACGTCGCTGAGTTCCGAATCGGAATCGTCTTTGACTGGCTTCGCCTGCTGTGATGTCCGCCGCCGCTTGTTCTGCTGCATAGTTAGCTTAACAAAATGTGCGTACACTTCGCACAAAGAGACGCACCAGAGGCTTGTCATCATCTTCCGAATTGCTTGCATCCTTGTATGATTTGCCGTTTGCTACGCTAGTGCGCGCCTTGCGCTTTCCGTTGGCGTTGCCATTCGTTTCCGGCGCATCGACATCCATCTTGCTGTCATCGATGGGTCCCATGCGAATAGAGATGCCAGGCTCGACGTGGCCATTGGAAGGTGCTTCCGCATTCATCCTCTTGTCTTCCTCGTCGGTAATGCGCTCCATTGACTTTACTGCAAGACAAAGATGTTAGTCTTCTCCAGTCTTTTTATAGAGCGTGAAAAATGCGTCGGACGAGGGTGGAACGAACACGGTCGAGGAAGGTGGAGGGAAAGTGGTGAGGTTGGGTGGTGAAAAGTGTGGAATTCAACAAGGACGATCGGCGCGTGGGAGTGAGATAGCCGTAGCGCGTGCAAAAAGTACTATCGTGGACAAACTCACCTTGATCGTTCCCTCGCACAAGAGGAGTATCGTCGCCGGAAGATGACATGTTGTCCACGATCGGCGCGTGCTTGACTTGCAGGCGATAGGAAACAGATCGTGGGACTGCAGCAAGGTTTGGCGCAGACCGAGTCGACCGTGCGGAAGCAGTGAAGGCGGCCCTGTACAAGGGTGGGAATGGAGGAAGGACGCGTGCCCTACAGCGACAGACTCGCAGTATGATTGAAGCGATGGTGGCCGAGGTGAGATGAATGGTAGCAGAACGTGGGTGATAGATGAACGGAAAAAGAGGAATGCTGAGTTTAAGTGAAGCGCAGCCCCAGGGAGCCACCACTTGTGCTCACTACTAAGTCCACCAACGCACGGTCGTTCGGCCTTCACCAAATCTGGGTCAGCAACTCTCTGCAACAAATTGCCCGACGTCATGAGCTGATCGGCCAACGCATTACATGCCGACTACAAGACAGACAGGCGACAGCGGAAAAACAACTGGGCTTTTTTCTGGGAAATTTACTCACCTTGTGAGACTTGGGCAATGCTTGCCACCTGTTTGTTGGATCGCTCCTGGCTAAGTCCAGCTAATTGTGTCGCGCCACAATGTCGAGTTTAGTCCTGTTCTTCTGTGTGTAAGAAGATCAGTAGCACAGAATGCACAGTTGACCGTATCTGAATGCTTCTCAGTGTGAAACGGTCGAGTACAACTGGTGAAGCAGGTCTTCTGGAAAGGACAGTATCACGTGACACTTGGCGTCTTAGCGCGCAAAGCAATTCAACGTCCCGATTGCCGACACAGCTTCAGTTCAGCAAAGACAGCAGTGACGAGCACCACCACACGGCTGTCGCCATCTCCACTCATCTCAATTCGTAGCCATGATGCTGTCACGAGCTGCGCGCCCGGCTCTCAAGGCCGGCATGGCCGCCGCCGTCGCCCGGTACGCTCCCATCCGAGTTCGCAGCTTTTCTCACACCTCGCAACCCCCCATTGTCGGATCAATTGCACCGCCAATTGCATCACCACTTGCATCCATTGCTGACTGGGACTTTTCTATCTAGGCCCGCCGTCCTTACCACCACCAATGCCGCCGGCTATGCCACCCTTCGTGAAATTGAGGGCCGTCTCAAGTCGATCCGCAACATCGAGAAGATTACCAAGACCATGAAGGTCGTCGCCTCCACCAAGCTTACCCGCGCCCAAAGGGCCATGTTTGAGTCCCGCAAGTACGGTCAGACCTCCAACGAGGTTTTCGAGAGTGCCGAGACCAAGCCAATTGAGAGCGAGGGCAAGAAGAACCTCATCATTGTCTGCAGCTCGGACAAGGGTCTCTGCGGTGGTATTCACTCTGGAATGTCGAGGAAGGTCAGGAGAATGCTTGCCGAGACCCCGGATGCGGACTTGGCCGTCATTGGCGAGAAGTGCAAGGCGCAGTTGGGTCGTTCCAATGGAAAGAACATGGTTCTTTCTTTCGCTGGCGCCGGAAAGGACGTGCCTACCTTTGCCGACTCTCTGTGCATTGCCGACCAGATTTCCCTGCTGCCCACCGACTACGCCTCCGTCAAGATTGTCTACAACAAGTTCATCAACGCCTCGAGCTACGAGCCCATCATCCAGGAAGCTTACTCTGAGGAGGCTATTGCTCAGTCTGGTATGTCAAGTGTTGCACGACAAGAGACTGTACTCTGACCTTATATACAGCCAACTTTTCCGCTTTCGAGATTGAGGACGAGGTTCTCCCCAACCTCCGCGAGTACGCTCTTGCCAACTCGCTCTACTGGGCGCTGGCGGAGGGCCACGCTTGCGAGCAGTCGGCGCGTCAAAACGCCATGGACAACGCCTCCAAGAACGCTGGCGAGATGATTAACAAGTTTCAGATTCTGTACAACCGAACACGTCAAGCCGTCATTACTGGCGAACTTGTCGAGATCATTACTGGTGCGGCCGCTTCGGAGGGTTAAACGTTGGAGTAGCATGGGACTTGATATCCCGAGACTATGGTTCCACCTCCCCCTGGGCTGTATAGAATAAACATCTACTCACAACTCTCGTGTGTCAGCAAGTTGACAGAAACTTTATCGTATTCACCCTGTGCCGGCATGTGCCATGTGTGAGTGCCGATTACCTTATTACGCCAACTATGATATATGAATGCGGGTCTTCTAGATAAGTACTTTTGACGACTAGTATGGTCGCCGACTTGTTACAAACAAGAGTCATGTGCCCAACGCACCACCTCGGCCAGAATCAGAAACACACGACTGTAGAAAACGTCTCAATTAGGCGATGTCTAAACTCGGCATGTCCAGTCTCGGTTTTTGCGGCCACTTGGCGAACGAAAAAGCATTCGTTAAGGCGAAGGGGAGGGGTGTTTGCGGAGGCTTTTTCTCGTGTGAACAGGGCAGATTAGTGGGGTACCTGGCCCGGTGTGGTAAGCTCAAGGCTGGATAAGGTAAGTAGAGGGCTGCTGAAACATGACTGCATCATTGGAAACAACCGCTCCTCGCACCTCTCCGGCATCTGTTCAAGTGACATGAACAGCGGGGCCAGCGCAAGGCCAGGAAACCGTTATATATCATGGTGTTGTATAGATGTTCATTTCTGCTTTTGTTGCGGTTCAGAGTACGGTTCTCCAGGATGCTCTGGTAGCGGCCCCATTTTTGTCATCCTTCTCGGACAGCAGGCATGTACCCTGACGCGTTGAGATAGCAACCGCCCACAGGAAGAAGCATTATTACACGCTTTCGGTCGTCTCCTGCTCATTTTATAGGGTGCTTTTATTAGTACCTTATCTCATCTGGTTATTCTCCGCGTTGGCTCGACCAAGTCGGCAGCCCCCTCGAAGCCGGCTTCACTTTACTCATAAGCTGTGCTTCTTTCCAATTGTTGTTCCTCTCCTTACTCCCCTGCTCGGGCTGATCCCGGCGACAGCTACTCCTCTTACCACGACTTTCCCCACAGCGACCTGGAGTCTTCTTCTACAACCAACCACTACCCAAAAAAAATCCCAAAAAACCATACTCGGGAAAAATGGCGGGCCAAGCGAGAAACTGCGAAATGAAGCATAGGATGCAGGCGCTCAAGGATCTGTACCTCAGTCGGCACTACACGCGGTGCGCAAAGTCTGGGGAGCGGTTGCTAGGCGAGGTGGATAGCAGCGTAAGTAAACATACGCATTGCGCCTTCCCTCTCGACCACAACAACAAGGTGCTAACAATAGACAGATGCATCCGGTTCACTTGGCATATCTTAACTTTTACACTGCGCTATCACACGATACTCTGGCGAGGGAGGCCACAATAAAGAATCGTCACTATGAGCTTGTTGCTGCGGAAGAGTATTACCGTGCTGCCATTACCGCCCTGGCATCATCATCATCCACTTGCTCAACCCCGACTTTGGACGATGAGCACCCCTCAACGCCAGAATCTGCCACATTCCCAGAAGAGAATGTGTGGCTCGACCGCTTAAGGACAAAATCACCTAACTTGAGCACTTCGTGTCGCACTTCAACATCAAGCACCATGTCCGACCCCTTTGGCCTAGAAAAAGATGTCCATTTTGATCTCAAAGGTTTTTCGTTTCCGTCACCGCCCCTAACCAGTACACCTACATTCCTCGAGGTTACTTCCAACCCTCAGTCAAGCCATATTGACAACTCGAGCATGCTCTCGCCTCTATCAACACATCCAATACGATCCGAGCGTGCAGCAAAAGTCAATTTCCCACCCGGCACATCAACATTTGTTGGTATGCTGCAAGGTCACCTCACCAGTGTGCTCACGCTGAAAGAGAGCACTGGTGGTATCAACGATTCCAAATTCACATTCCCGAGCCCTTCAGCTTCACCAACCAAGTCACAGTACAAGTTTCCTCGAACCAGCGATCTGCCGCAACACCAAAAAGAAAACCTTCGAATGAGGAGAAAACAAATGGCTTGGCGTCCAAGGTTCGACCCAGGAAGCATACGCAAGCTGTGTGACGAAGCGCTGGCAGAGCTCTAGTAGCCGCCAGACAACGAGACGAGATCCAGTGATGCTGCGGGGGTGTACTGAATACAGTTCGCTTTCTGTCTCTTTTATTGACATGTTCGGCAAAGTGCGGCAGGAGATGAAGAATGTATACCCCAATTTGGTAGGCTTTTTCTTTTGTTTTTGTTCATATACCATCTTGTATGTTACTTTTCTCCGTTTCCCGCCATTACCGGTCTCCTGGCTTTTGTTTCCACTATTTCCACTGTTCTAGTAGATGACCGACGCACGAGCTTGTATTCTGGGAGGATTGTATGAGAAGAAATTTGGAAGCTTGCACGAGTTGAATGTACGATACAACCAATAGTAATCTATGCAAGACATAGTACTCATATGCTCCATACCATGGATGTCGTCCAACTGAGATAGAGAGAGAGTTACTTCGTGATATCGTAAACTTTTTTTTCCGAGATGGAGAAAGTGGGAAATAGAAAGAAAAGAACCCCGCCACCATTAAATGCCCGTGGAACGCCTTTGGAAATGCATGATTTGCCTCGCTGCGTCTATTTGTTCATTTCCTCGAGTCCGCGCTTGATCCTTTGGCACTTGATCTTAAGCAACTTAACACTTTCCAGGAATAGCTCGTCGCTCTCCCATTGGCCTGTGCTCTCTACCCGGAAGATAAAGTGATCCCGTATCCGTCCAAGCCTGACCTTGTCCTTGAACTCTGGGTGTCGCAGGCATTCCCTGCTGACTGTGTCGTTCATAGCATTTGCCACGACAGCCTTGGCTTCGCCTTCCTTGCCCTCAAGCTCCGGGTGTTGTTTGACATCGGTCTCAGTAACTGTGTCAAGGCGAATAACTCCGCGAGGGAAGCAGCGCGCAAACTTTTTGGCATCAGGTCCGACAATAGGCTTGGTAATATCGATTGTAGGCATCAGGCGATAGGAAGCTGTCGCTACAGGGGAGAATTTGGCGTGGTCCTGTCCAATCCCCTTGATGGCATGCATGCTGAGGTTTATGCTCTGGCCTGGCCTCATTTTCGCAATCAGGATGTCTGGGTTGGTGGAGCGTATTTCTTTCCCTTGCTCGGACGAAAAAAGTTCGGCTTGGCGACCTATGGGCTTGAACTCAATATCTTTGGCGTAGACATTGTGGCCTACGTATAGTTTGTCGGGATCGGTTTCGCCCGCGACCGCTCTCTGCAGACCACCTTCTTGCCATTTGCACTCCACTTCCAGTCTCAGTACCACAGTGTTCCAGTCAGTTGGCGTGCCTGATTCAGGGTCTTCTTCGGTGGGCTTAGAGTACCATTTCATCGCACGCAGGCCCTCGCGGTCGCCGCACAAGGGCACCAAGCCTAGGCGATGAGCAAGTACCTCATCTTGGATAATGGACGTATTTTGGTAGATGAAGACATCTTCTATGGCAAGCGTAGGGATCTCGGAGAGGAGTATGCGGCGAAAGGCGTTGGCTACTGAGGTATCAATGCCAGTAAGAGAGAATTGTGTGTCGAAGGGACTATGGCTATGGAAGGTGACGTTGAAGTTCTGGAATATGTGAGTTGAAGTGTTATGCAAAATGACAGAAAATTCACTGCACATACCTCTTTGAAGTAATCCAAATCCCATTCATGGTTCTCTCCCGGCCAGTGTCCTGGAAAATCGGTAGACTGCTGGTTCATGACAGTCTCGGGGCCGACTTGAAGCGTCTGCAAGTGCTGTTAGGATAATTTTTCTTACATATTCCGAGTCGCATAAGTACCTTGCGCCTCATGAGCTCTTGCGCGCTTGGTTTCGACATTGTTGCGGCGTTGCTTTCAAGATTCGGTGTTTTTGGTGGGTAGCAAGTTCCATCTTCACAAAAAGTTCGAGCAAGCGGCGGCCACGCCAAGGCCCGGACAGCCAATAGCGGCGGGTCCAATCTGGAAGCATCATCGATGTGAGGAAAGCTCCCCTCCAACGCCACGACCTCGCTCTCCACTCTACATGCCCATTGAGGCTCCACAATCGCGGTAGAGAGAGACAGAATCACTATGCCCGTCTCTTTTGCGCGTCTGGCCGGCCCCGCGGCGAAGCGGGCGTGCCTGAACGCCTCCCGTTCCCACGTCCGATCCGCATTCCCTTCACGACCCATTGCGCGATGCCTGTCGACCTCACTGCCCCGCCGATATGCTCAGGTCGACGAGAGCCAACGCACGCGCTTGGTTGCCACCGATTCCAACTTTGCAGGCGTTGCCCCTGCTGAGACCCAGGAGACCCGCGCCGAGGAGGACGAGCACGTAGACACCAGGAAGATCCGCCATTACACTGTCAACTTTGGACCCCAGCATCCCGCTGCCCACGGTGTGTTGCGCTTGATCCTCGAGCTGAATGGCGAGGAGATTGTGCGCGCTGACCCGCACGTTGGTCTGCTCCACAGAGGCACAGAGAAGCTGATCGAGTACCGGACGTACCTCCAGGCTCTGCCCTATTTTGATCGTCTCGATTATGTCTCCATGATGACCAATGAACAGTGCTACTCGCTGGCTGTCGAGAAACTGCTCAACATTGACATCCCCATTCGTGCCAAATACATCCGGACCATGTTTGCTGAAATCACGCGCATTCTGAACCATCTCATGTCCGTCTTGTCCCACGCCATGGACGTCGGTGCACTGACGCCTTTCCTGTGGGGTTTCGAGGAGCGTGAGAAACTCATGGTAGGTTGATGCTGAATTCAATTTGACACATTGTGTCCATATGCTAACAATGGTAGGAATTCTACGAGCGTGTCTCTGGTGCACGTCTCCACGCAGCCTATATTCGCCCCGGTGGCGTTTCGCAGGATATTCCTCTCGGTCTGCTTGATGACATCTACCAATGGGCTACCCAATTTGGTGACCGTATTGATGAGACTGAAGAGATGTTGACGGACAACCGTATCTGGATCGGCCGCACCAAGGGTGTCGGTGTCGTCCCGGCTGCCGACGCCATCAACTACTCCTTCTCTGGTGTCATGCTTCGTGGATCTGGTGTTCCATGGGATGTCCGAAAGTCTCAGCCATACGATGCCTATGACCAGGTTGAATTTGACGTCCCAGTCGGTGTCAACGGTGACTGCTACGACCGATACCTTTGCCGTATGGAGGAGTTCCGTCAATCCCTTCGCATTATTCACCAATGCTTGAACCAGATGCCTGCTGGCCCTGTCAAGGTTGAAGATTACAAGATCGCTCCCCCGCCACGTGCCGCCATGAAGGAGAACATGGAGGCCCTCATTCACCACTTCTTGCTCTTCAGCAAGGGCTACACAGTCCCACCTGGCGAGACCTACTCTGCTATTGAGGCACCCAAGGGAGAAATGGGTGTTTTCCTCGTTTCAGATGGTAGCGAGAGGCCTTACAGGTGCAAGATCAGGGCACCCGGATTTGCACACTTGGCCTGCATGGACCAGATATCAAGGGGCCATCTGCTTGCCGATGCAGTTGCTATCATCGGTACTATGGATTTGGTGTTCGGTGAAGTTGACAGGTAGTGTTTCGTTAGATTGATCAAGTTAAGAAGAAATGAATATAAAATCTTCTCGTTTTGCTTAGATTTGAGTCTCAGTGAGGTCGGGGGCGGGCTGTACATATGGTACCTTACTTCTTTTTTAGCAACCCAATTGATGTTCATACGTTTGCATTGGCTGTTATCTATCTCACTAATATGCTCTCATGTTCCATTGAGAGCTTGGATCCCGAGAGTAATTATAGACACTACATCCACGAAAGAAAACGCCGAGAAGACCACTGGTGGTGTGTCTGACAAAAGCAATAGCAATAAGTTTGAGCTATTGTAGTTACCTCACTATTACAAACACTACCAGAAATCGTGACCAAACGTGTCGATTCCATCGCAGACGTGGTGGTAAAGCGTCCAAATGTGAAGGTTTTGATTACTGCTACTTACCGCTTGACTTTTTTCTCTGTTTGCTATACAGCGTATCAGATCAACTATCTCAGAAAAGAATGGCAGGCCACACCCCAACCTGCCGGACTGCTATTTACAAAAAAAACAATACCATTATCAAACTATTGGGTTGGATGTGCCAACATAAACCAACAAACAAAAAACAAAATGACCATGTCTGTTTTCAGGGCAAAATGAAAGAAAGATCTATGAGAAATGATACAAAACCGTATGTAAGATGTGAGAGCTAGGGGGTACGAGTTCAGTAGATTTAACCATTGATTTTTGGTGGCCTATGAACAACATCAGGGAGCAGATATGCCAAGGAAAAAGCATCACCAAGAATTTGGGAAGTATGTAGAGATGTTCTAACGAAACGGTGGGCTGAAAAATTAAAGTGTTTGGACTTTTGGCGATGGAAATATGAGGGTATCATCTCAATTGCTCTCATCTAATGGTACGAAGAATGATTGAAAGATATGTTGATAAATTTCAAGGACAATCTCTATAGAATCAGCATGTGCTACTGAAAATGAAGACCACAGTATGTTATTGTCCCCTATCGTTTGATCATGAAATCCACAGAAGGCTTCTCAGAGTGATAGTAGGTTGAAAAAAAAAGTGTGTCCTTGAAGAATTCCCAACAGCCACCTCATCCAACTCTTCTGAAATCATCTTCTCTCCTCCCAGACATGAGATCGATTTCATCGTCATGCAGGCCTCCAGGAGGGAGGGCAAATGATATATGCGTTCTCATCGTAACCATCGATCGTGGGCTAGGGGGGAGTGGGGCGCCCAAACACCAGAACCTACGCCGATGTTGAAGATGATTTCGAGGACTCTTGGTTGCCTTTTCAGCATCATCTATCGTCTTTTTGATCTCGCCCAAATTTGAGTTTTCCCAAGACTGCTGATTCCGCAAGGTAGAAAGATGTAGACTGGCCTTTGATAGCACCATGTCGAACGTGTGTGTGTATATGAGTATGTCGTCGTTGTTGTTGTTGTAATATATTTTGGAGAAGACGGATGTAAAGAGGCGATCGTGTGGAAAGGAGGAGATTGACACATTGTTGATGCAGTGTATGTATTATGTAAGTCAGACAAAATAGATGGAGAGAGGCTTTGCGATTACCTATGAAGATGATTCATAAAGAGGTGTAGTTAAATGTCGATGGTGTGGAGAGAGAAAGAGAATTCAGTGTTATAAATGTCAGTTCGATGAACTGTTTGCTTGCCTCAGTCGATTGCTCGATAGACAGGTGACACGCAACATATGTATTGAAGGATCCCAGCAATCCAATCATGTGTCAAAACCCTACGATGTGACGGCAATCTATGTACAATCCAGACAGGTAGGAAACTTCGGCCGGCAGAAGGTAACACATACTCAATCAAAAATTGCTTTGCAAGCTTGCACAAAGTCACTCAAAGCTCGAAAGGGGTAATTGGGAAATATAGTAAGGACCACAGGTCTCCCTTGAAAAGTGTGTGATTCAAATATTGTAGATTGGATGCACGATCTTTTACGAATCAGTGCCAACCAGAGAGAGGCCAAGAAGAAACAATAATAATAATAAGTAAAACATGTTGGTTGCACTTTGCAGGGACATGTCAGAGAGAGAAAATCGAGACCCGCAGAAGGCCCTCGCCATCTCCTGCGGGGTTTCTCTGTGACTGGGCCCTTTGATAGAAACGCCCGATTACTACGGTTTTGGAAAAAAAGGCAACCATACATACTCGTACACACACACAACACGCGCCGCCCACATGTGTTCGCTCAGCCGCATACCCTCCTTTAGGAGAACTTCCACCTATTGCCACAGTTCATGCACTCGCAAAACGTTGTCATCGGTTCATCAGCAGACCTAGTTTGCGCCTGGCTGTAGCTGACCTTCTTCTGCTTGCACTTTCCGCACTGGAACTCCTTTGATATGGCCTTCTCGACCTGGGCGACCATGGCCTGGTTCATGTTCTCCTTCTCCAGCTTTTCGTCCTCGGCTCGTCGCGCGTCCGACTTCATTTCGTCATGTGTCATGACAACAAACCTCTTGGCAGTGATTTCTCCAGTGAGAACTCGTTTACGGAGTTGGGGATTCGACTTGTTCTTGAGGTTCTGGAAAAGCGAGCGCATCTTTCCCTTGTAGGCATCGTTCACACTACCAGCGTTGCTGTAAGCTGCGGCTTCGACATGCTTGGCAATATTAAGGATTTCATCGGGCACTTGGGTACGAATTAGTAAAGCCCAGAGTCAATCAAAGGCCTCTACTTACTTGCTTCGCTCATAAAAGCTAAACCATCATACATCAACCTCACGCAGTTGTCACGAGCCTCGTTTCCAGTGACTTGGTACTTGACTTTGTCTGTTTTGTGGTTGCGTTTATCAGAAGGCACGTCATGCTTCTTCTTGGATTGGCTGGGCGCTGGGGAGGCAGTGCCCGATGGTGGAGGAGCGGGTGAAGATGTTGAACCGTTGCTTGTGGCTACTTTGGCTGGGCCGTCCTTCTTGGGAGGCTGCTTCTTCTTCACCTCGTCCCTCCACTTTGCTACCAGCTCCGTTGCCAATTTTTGCACAGCGGGGTCCTTGTGTGTACGCAGACGATTGATGGTGACACCAATCCTTGTTGAGCGCAAGAGGTCCTCGGTGGCATGGACACCAGTCTTGAGGTCGTTTAGCAACTTCAGAATAGAAGTGCTAGGTTCGCCTTCTGAGACGGCTTTGCCGATTGCCTTTCCGCGAAGCTCAATCTCTTTCGCATCCATTGCCATGACGAAGGTGTTACGATTTATTGAAGCGAAGTCGGGAATGGGCGCGCGAAACCGTAGATGCCTTCGCTAAAAGGTCGGTAATCGTTGGCGAGTCGCAATCAACGTAGGATCCTCCTGTTCTTTGTACGACAACTCGAGATGCTGTCGCGCTTGCGCTTGCGGATAGCGATCAGGCTGATGTTATGACGGATGTGTGTTGGGATCGGCGCGGGGCAACAAGGTCGCGTCTAGATGCAGGCGCGACTAGTGGAAGCGAACGCGGTGCAGGGGCGTACGGACGACGTTGGTAACGATTATTTGGAGGAGAGTAGGAGGCGTGGCGCGATGCCGTCTCCCGTTGTGATCTAGAAGTTGCGTTTCCTCAAAGAGGCCCAAGCTCAGCGACGCTAGCCTCCGCGTTCATCAGAGGGAAACCGCGACCGTGGAACTTCCAAACTGCAGATCTGGTACACGCGACATTCACTACGACAAGATCTGGTAGAGGCGCCCGAGGCCTTACACTACAATCTACGACATCTAAAAAATGACGGAAAATGCGCCCCCGGGAAGCGCAAACAATGGAAGCACAGACAATTCGCGCGGCACGCCCTACTACGAGAGGCTGCGACGTGACCTCCGCGAGTCGCTGAACAAGAAGCGCTTGATCGATAACAATCTGGTTAGTATGAAATGAGGTGTATAAGAGATGCGTGTGCTAATCTCTCGTGATAGCTACAACTCGAAGATAACATTCTACGAGTCGAAACCCAGTACCTAGAAGAGACGAGCGCCGGCAACATCATAAAAGGCTTCGACAATTACATCAAGGGCGCAGCGACTACGACGACCACGGGCGGGGCAGGAACTGCGACGAGGCGAAAAGCCCCAATCAATGATGCGGACAGGATATTCAGCCGGAGTTCGACCAGCTTCTTGAGGGTATGCGAAGGAAAAGACCAGACCTTTTCGCAGCGTAGATTATAGAGGGACACAACGTATGCTGACGCTGCCATGCAGGAATCGTCGACACCAGGTTCAGCAACCCCATCGCACGCTCCTGCGCCGACCTCATCCTTCCCTACGCGCGAGTCGAGCCAACCCACGAACGGTGCGAAGCCAGGAGATAACAAGAAGAAGAAGGCAGCCGAAGACGACGATGAACACAACAACAAGACCAAGCGACAAAAGATTTCCTACGGACGGGAGTGAGCATGTGGACCGGCACCTGTGTCATTGTCCAAACGGCACAGTGGTACACACGACACAGACATCACGAGGCTGACAAAGCTATCATGAATGAAGCAATCCGCTCGTAGCGCGGATGATTGCGCGGCCTATGGGTCCGTGAAAGCTGAAATTACCTGAGCTATCAACAAATCAGGAAGGTGTAAGAGCATCGGTTGCAAACCCGAAGTTGCGCGTGTTTAAGCAGTGGAGACATTTTGACAGCTGTGCGGAATCCTGAAACCATATTAGATCAGATATGGGATTGCGGGGTTGGTTTAATCTCGATATGAGGTCCACTTTTCCGTGCGACTGAGCACTACTGTTGGACGACAGCACATCCGTGCGGACTGACTGGCACACAGTAGCGATGGAGATTAAATTGATCCTTGAACTGGTAGAGTGGCTTGCTTGGAGTGGTTCAAAGGAGTGGCGATGAAGGACTGCTTGGCATTTGACATGCAAGCGATGTCGCTCCGCTCTCGTTACTGGGAACTTCATGTCTGCGAAAGCGGAAGACATGCTCGGCAAAGGTTAGCATTATGGCCCCTGTGTGGGTTTCTTGTTGCAGGCTGCATTTGTCCTATAGATGGCAAGACGAGTCAGAAATCAATGTTGAACACTTTTCGCCACCACTGAATACAAGTGTTTGTCGCAATAGGTGTACACCTACTGTATGCGTCCCCAAACTCTCACGCAATACCCTGTTGTGATATGCTGAAGTCGCACGAGTTCTTATTCCCGCATAGCAAGACAACCACGAGAACAATGGTGCAGTTGCTGGTCTCCCCCCTCTGGTTATTTTCCACAAAGTGCAACAACACTCGAGGCAGGGAGCTGGGATTACAAGTATATTAAACACTCAATCATGCCTGGCCAAGTTGAGATATTGGTGCAGATACAAATACCGAAAACAATATGTGTACAGACTAAGAATATCGCATGCCTGGATGTTGTTGTTTTGAGTACAGTACTCTACCTTTCACACAACCACAGAGCTGGCATTCAATTGAGACGGTCAAGTGCCTGTCTTGATCGCATGCATACATTCTCACTATCGGTTGTTAGTCGGCAGGGCAACTAGTAGACGGTGTGCTGCTGCTGCTGCCAATAAGGCAAGGGAACGATGCCAATACCACTCATGACATGCATGATGGCTAACGTAGGAGTGAAGGCCTAGTTTTTTTTTGACGCACAGCATTTCAAGGGCCGAGATAAGTAGAGGGGCCGGCGTGTGGGTGGCAAGAGGGAAACGCATGGAAAAGGTGTCTGCGGGTAACCTCCCTTACGGGACGTTTGCCGGCGTTACTGCAACGCAAATTGCTTTCTCCTCTCCGCTGACCCAGTTTAGCAGCGGAGACGGATACTCGAGCAGGAAGCCATCAAAGCTCGAGAGATTTTGAGTCGTCATGTTTCTGCAACAATGCGTGTGGACAGAACAATCAGCCCTGTGTTTCGACACGCTGTCAGGCGTCGCGTCCTCCCGGCGATCTTGCCTCGAAGGAACGGGTAAAGGGATGGGATGCAGTCAGGCACGCTACGATCTCATCTCAGGCTCCTTTCGGTCCGGTCTTCAACGTGTGTGACCCACTCACCACGAGAGTGAGGACCGTGATTGGGAGTCCGTGTGTAGAGGCAATCAGGACCCGCAGTCAACATGGTGCCTGAGACGAGAAGAGAGAGAAAGTCCGACGTTGTCAGCACACACACACACACACACACATACATGCACACCGGCCCTTTGCACGTTTGCAGTCGAGTCGTGGAGGGTGAATTGTCGCGTTTTGCGCAGCCTCGTACGCAACATCAAGCCGCTGAGCAGGGGCATTCCATATCCAGGAAAGAGGAGGGGGCCAATGGATGGAGAATGGCATCGGCACAGCAGCCTCGGGGCGGCACAAGGTGCATCGGCAAGTATCCCACTCGCTGACAGACGGGAGGCCAGTGGAGGCGGGCCAAATTTCAGGGTCCAGCAGCAGCTAGCAAGGGTATGATGCTGCATGACGAGTGCCAAGCCTGTGCCCCAGTCGTAAGCCCACCGCTCACCGAACGCCAAATGATGGCATTGCAAAAGGGCAGAGCAATGGCATTCGACGTTTTGGTCCAACTGAAACCGGGTGCGCCCGAATGACGAAAGCTCACGGATCCACGGTACCATACCAGATAGTCGCAGTGTCGTCACAGTGCTGGCGGGGCGGAGCAAAGGATAAAGGGAAACACGTCGAAAGAGGAAGGGCGCGGTTGTGAATTAAACAAGGGTCTTTTTGATTCTACCGCACTCCCATCCACTATATGGAGAAATGCGTCATTTTCTTGCGCTGCTTAAACTCGACTTAGTGTCGTGTTGATGGTTACCCTGGCTACTACCAGTCGCTATGTGGCACCTATGCGCGCTACTGCTAATGTACAAACGTCATTCTGCAAACCATCCGCTGCAACGCTGCATTCGGTCGGGTGGCTGCTAAAAGAGAGTCTAAAAAATATTAAAGGGTATAAGCGAATGATGACAGCATGTGCTTCGTGACGACAGTGAGCCGGGAGGCCTTGTCGAGCACAGCTGGGAATTAGTCGAATATGTGCAGGCGATAAGGAAAAACAGTATCCTGGCCGAGGCAATCCATGCGCGTAGTATTACAGTGTTGAGGAAATCGCTCCAAACCCAAAGGAAATTAAAAAAAAAAAATGACAAATAGATACTCGTGAAGGGTTTGCAGATGGAAACGCCAGAAAACGCCGTAGTGGTCCTCCTTCATGGGCAATAGGGCCAGGTGGTATCTCCGTAAAAGCCAGTAAATGTGCAGCGATGGGTGGAAGAAACATCCAAACTAGATGCGGTTCGCTCTAACATCTTGGCCAATAAATGCGCAACAGTGGTATCTCAAACGTCAGGTGTGCTAGACGAGCGACAAGGCCGATGATGATACAGGTAAAGAAGCGTGAACACAAACAATTGGACCTAAAAGTCCTTTAGTGGTCGACGCTGTCTGGCGATGGGTGGTCGATGCTGCCGTCGTTCTTGTGTACTTTTCGGTGTCTCCTCAAGTTGGAAACAACAGAGAAGTGACGCCCGCAACCCTCGACTTCACAAGCAAATGCTGTGATGGTGTTAGCAAAGCAATCCCAAAAAGTAGAGTCAGAAGTAAGAACTTACGCTTCTCTCCAGTGTGGCTGTACATGTGTGTTTGGAGGGAGCTTGGTCGAGTGAAGCGCTTGTCGCAAATCTTGCACTTGTGCTTCTTTTGCGAGCTGGATGAGACCTTTGAGCTGAACTGGCTCATCATGGAGGCGGGAGCAGGGGGCATGTTTGCGCCGAGAAGTGCGTTGGGACGAGGAAGGGTGCGCGAGCTGCCCAAGTCGACAGACTCGGAAGCGGAGCTGTAGTCGGTGACTGAGCCTTCACCACCGTAGTATCCGTTGGGACCATAGCTGGCAGATGAGATGGAAGAGTGGGCGGAGTGTGTCGAAGGGAATCCGTAGGATTCTGTGGAGCTGCGGCTGGTTCCCTGAGTACCGTAGATATTCCTTGGGGTAATGTCTGACTGGCTCAGGGAGACCATGCCGCGGCTAGCATCGAGAGCATCGCTAAAACTGTTGCGTGGCTGCTGGCTATTCATTCTGCTAAAGTCAACAAGTGAACTTTGGCGCTGTCGCTGGGACTCGACGGATTCGTAGAATGCTATTGAGGGGACTAACGGGTGTGAAGAACGACGAGAGGCATCCTGCTGGAATGCATATGGGCTCCGTTCTGTGTTTGCGTATTCCACCTGGGAGTATGGAGCCGAAGTAGGAGCATAAGTCTGGTTTTGAGGAGAGGCGGATGTAGCATAACCAGTTGGGTATCCGCGTGACATGAGATCTTCAGAGGCATCAAGTAAGTTTGGTGTCGCGAAGTTGCCACCCGGGAGAGTAATACCTTGTCCCATGGGAGGGGCTGTGACGGGCATGCCGTGGTAGGGAATGGCGATGCTTGTGGGGCGCTGTGCGTCGACATTGGGGGCCACGGTTGTCTGGTAGAGTTGCTGCTGTGAGGTGCTGGCCGAGACCCATGGGTTGGTGAAGTGTGGTTGTTGTGGATAGCGCATGTGGTCGTAGCCCATGCCGTTTAGCTGGGGTTGCTGGCGATTATCGACTGCCATTGCCATTGCGGAGACTTTTTTTCTGATAGCGGCGGATGCGAAGGGGATGGTGAGGGTCCAGGAAGGGGGAGGAGGATGAGGTGGAACAAGAGAATAAAGCTGAGTTGCGACGGTCAAGACTCGACTCGTAGATCCAAAAGGTGAAACAAGGTAGTCGAGGGTCAAAAACGTGGAGATAGTCGATCACAAGCAGTCAACGATGGGATCTGCGACCTTTTGAATTCTCTCTGACACTGGGGACTCCCGTGCAGTGGTATTCCGAGAGAAGTAATGATGCTCGCTTTGGTATGTCGATCAGTTGACCTGTACTAAGCAGGACCCGTGACAAAGAGCCAGCGAGATTAGGTGTAGGGCGAAGCGGACACCAGCGACCGAGTGGCAGACGCTCGGGCGTTTCACGTCGAGGACCCGTGCTCGGAGGGAGGAGAATGCCCAGCGGGTGCAGGGGCGGAGGGTGTGGGGTGGGTTGCGTGTTGCGTGTCGCCGTGGGAAAAGTTCGGTAACGTTAATTCGGCAGGAAAAGCAAGCCAGCGACAAACAAGTAAGGATGGGAGGGCAGCGATGATGAAAGCAGTATAGATGGGATGGGGGCAGGGCCAAAGGGTCAGGGCTGGGCAGTGCGCAGAAGGTGAAGAGGCTGTTGATCAGCGGGCAAGCAGTCGGGGAGCCCTCACTGATAAATTCGCGTGCGTGGAGGGTTTACGTCTTTGGGTTCACAGCAGGACCATCATAGGCTAGGGGCCAAGCAGGCAAGCAGGAGGAGCTGGCACGCTGGCTCAGCACCCCCGGACGCTGCTACGTCTGCGTCGACAGGGGGGCAGCAGTCGACGCTAGCCCTGCGCGCGCCCACCGCTGCTTTTACTTGCGCAGGTGGAGAGCGGTCGTTCAGCGACGTGCCCACGGGCTGCGTTGCATCCGCGCCATCTGGCACTGTAGCCTCAACAGCCCGGCGTGTGTGCCGTTGGCTTAGCACCGCACCATGGCTATTGCCTTCCGCTCGTCGTCTGAACCATGGCCCCCGTCGCCGGCCAGCCCTCGCCCAGGCTGAGCCGACCAGTCCACCACCCGCCGTCGACGGCCACTGGTGCTACGCCTGTCCGGTCACTCGTGCTAGCAATAAGCTCTCTGCCAGCCAGCGCGCCGCGAATCAGCGGGCGGCAGGCGCGGGAGGGCTTTTTGGCTTTTGTTTTGGCATGCCTCCACCAGCACTAGGGCCGACGACGCGCATTGAAGCAGCCTAGCACGCATGCTCACAATTGCATGCTTCCCATTTGGGCACCACGGCTAGCCACATGTGCGGAGCGGACAGTGCGAGGGCTCCGCAGCCATGGGGCGTCGCCGTCATCATCCTGGTGGGTGCTGGTGTGCATGTGGGTGTGTCCAGTCTAGTCGTCTGCCATGCCCCTGCGCTGCTGGTTGCTGTGCTTTTTTCCTCGTCCTCGCACGCTGAGCGCGAAAGCATCGACGACTCAAGAAGCGTCGCTGCACAACAACGGTCGTCTAGGATCAAGGCTCGCGCCAGCAAGAGGGACCGAAAAAGCGGCTTCGCACGCTTGCCCTTTTGGAGGTGCATCGCGCCGGACACTGGCCGGGCAGGCTGCCTTCGCGTCGCGGAGTCGGACCGCCACAGCCCATCTCCACGACGTTGCGTAAACTCGAACTCTCCCACCGTCGTCGCCCTGGTCCTAGCGCGGGTTCCGCCCGCCCCCTCCTGACTCTCCGTTGTGCACGGCGGCGTCGAGGAGAGAAAAAAAGCGCCTCTGGTGAAATTAGTCCCCTGAGGCACATGCGCCTGTGCGCACACCTAAGCAATGGTCAAGCGTTTGATCGCCGTCCACGCTGCTTTTGGTGCCAGACGTCTGAGAGGCTTTGTCAGATGGTGGACCAAAAAAGCTGAGGCTTGCACGTCAGTTTGGGACAAGTGGGCTGGATGGGGGAAGACGCCCTCGCTCCAATAGGGGACAGTGTCATCTCGTCGCCGTACCTGCTTTGCATAGCACCCACCCCAAGGCACAGTGGCATGGGCGCCGTAGCCAAGTGCGAGCGAGCAGATGGCGATAGTGCCACTGTACTTAGTTGGCTACAGCGCCCATGCCTGCCAATGACGACAGCATGGCTCCCACCACACACACACAGGCGCACTCACACCCACCCACTTAGAGAGGCCTGCGTGTGTGCAAGTGTACATGGCTGCTCAAGCGCGCGGGACCTGTTAGCTGCGAGCAGTGATGAGAGCCAAGCCCCGCCTGTATTCGCAATGACACGCGCTGCTGAGTGAGGGCAGCAGGACAAAGTGGGCGCCGGCCTTGGATGTCGTCATGGGGAAAGGCGCCATGGCGCTGCTGCTAGCTGGGGAGGGCGGCAGGCGGCATCTGATTGGCGCACCGCACAAGTTGTACCTGGCGACAGCAGCACCGCATGCAAGATGATGTCGAGGCGGCCAAGTGCGCATTGCGTGCCGCTCGAGGAGGGACCGTCGTGGTGAGAGCAGAGGGCGAGGCGTGTGCGTGTGCCTGCACCGGCTGCATGGCCGTCACCGGCCAAGTCATGTCGGAACTCTGTCGTGTGTCTGGCGCTCCAAGTGTGTAGCAACTCTACTGGACAGCAACGGGCGCGCTGCGGTGGGCAGCGTCGTCGCCGCATTGCCTTTGCAAGTGACGAGGGCAGTGGCAAAGGAGCCAAGACGATGCATACGGGGAACTGTCATCTCACCGCCCACTAGCGCAGTCTGCAGCGGCGTCTGAATGGCTGTCTGCTGCCACCGCACGGCCGTCTTGCACCCCATGTGCATCGTGCCCGGGCTAAGTGCCACCCATCCACCTCCCACCACCCATACCCATACCCACACCCACGCCCACACCCACACCCACACCCACACCCACTACCCACTACCCACTACCCACTACAGCATACCCACCACTGCACTGCGCACTCCCCTCCCCCCTCACACCCCCCTCACACCCCTCACTTTTGGGCGCTCCGCCGAGCCTTGTGATGCAGGGCAACTCCTGTAGCAGCAGCGCCATCCCGCTCTCCAAAGTCACTTGAAGACGCCTGGTATCCACACGCTTGCGCCTTTCTCCAGCGCTACTGCGGCCTTGCACCTGTCGGCGGAAGCGCTACTCTGCTCCATATCCTCGACCCGTCAACCCAAATGACCACGACGACTTGCTCGACTGCCCTACCGCTTTCGCTGTGCCACTCGGCCTCACTATGGCAAGACCAGTGGATACAGCCCTTTTCCAAAGTCACCGCAACCTCGCGCTACAGCCTAACTTTGCGCCTCGCATGCTCCCATGGCCTCTCGTCCGTTACCGGCCACGACGTGCTCGGCATTCACACGCTGGACCCTGCATTCGTAAGCTCGGCCGCATCCCCTCAGTTTATCAGCCGTTGACTTGTTGAGGCCGACTTTGTGTTGGCTTGCCAAGCCAGCCGACTCGTCGATAAGCTCGTGGATTCTCTTTTTTATTTCCGAGATCAGAGTCTAGTCAGCCAATACGAGTAGTAGCGCGTGGTGCGTGGAGAACCAAATCCGCCGCCCGCCCCCTCTCTTCCCCCCTCCCTCGTATGCGTTGTATAGTGTGTCTAAGCTGCTGTAGACATGGTTGTACACCTACGCATGTACGCTTCGGTGTCCGATGTGCAACACTGTTTCCATTTTCCTGGAGATCGCCATCAAGCCTACCCCACGGTTCCGTCGTGAGCTAGACGTGCGGCTCTGCAAGAGCGATCAGCGCATTCTGACAGCCGGGGGCGCATCATTTTTTACATGGGCAACATAGCGATAGTAAATTTGCACTCGTCCTTGTAGTGTAGTAGTACGCACTTACACGCCGGTCGACTAACATTCCTTGATGCAAGAGGGCACTGCGGAGTCATCCAAGGTGGACCGCCCACCAGGGCTACAGCAGAGGCTCACTAGAGAACAGGGCAGCAAGTGAGCCGAAAGCCTATCAGACAAGCGCAAAGCACTCGAGTGAAATGGCAAAGCAAATGTGGTCGGCGAGGCAGCGAATCAAGACAACCCGACATTCTGGCACCCTGCCCTGTACACTCCTGTACATAACCTTGCACATCCATTCTTTTGAGCAAAAAAGCTCGTCACGGGCAGCGGCGCAATGGGGCCCGCGTCGCCGACCAATCACAGGCTAGCCTGCCAAGAGAAAAATGCCTCGAGTCGGCGTGCCGCAGTGCCCCAAGTGCTCAAGCCGCCCGATGTAACGTTTGTTGAAACTGCGGGAGTAACGTGGGCTGTCACCCTCACAGCCTTGAAGGGGGGAGTAACGTGGGCTGCGTAACCAAAACAAATCAAACAAGAAGTGTCTGTGCATCTCCAAGGTTTGCGCGGGAGATTCTGCATGTCCAAAATCCTATCTGGCTTGTCTACTATGATCTTCATCCCACTTCCCGCACCTCTCTAACGTCCAAGGCTTATGATCTTCATCATAAATTCAATCATTTGGGAAGTGATTGCCTATCCGATTCCGCTTTGAGACGGGCTGCCATGTGGAAACTAACGAACGTGCAATGCAGTTCGCAGATCGGAATCTTGCCCACTTCCTAATCCGCACCGTATGCCAACCCTTGTGACCATCACCTAAATCCTACATTGTCATCTTTTTTTCCCCTTTATGCAAGATAAAAAAAGAAGGAAGAAGAAGAGAGAAATTGTCAAACGTGCGGAATGCCAATACCAATGTCTCACCCCTTTCCCTCTCCCCCCCCCCATGTCAGTGCCAATGCTACAATACTACTCATACAAGCCCGCCCTTACGCCCGTCCGCCTCACAAACACTCCCAAGTACTTACGTCGCATTTGCCCCTTCTGAGCGACCTGCACTAAAATACGATGTTTGCTTCTTAACGGCAAAATTAGCCTTTCCATTGCACATGACGTCTTCGAGAAGTGCATAGCTGCTATAAGAGGAAAGCCACACTCTTCTTTCTGACACGAGATTACATGGATATCACCCTCCGTGCTGCTACCGGGAGAGCGGAAAGGCACGTGCTCTGGTGTCTTGGGAAGCCGTACCAATCACCATGGTCTAGCTGAGCGGCCCCTCCCCCTCCCCCTTACCTCCGCCCACCCCAGCTCCAACATCAAACTTTCATAATCTTCATCATCATCGTCATCATCATCATCACTTCCCCAAACCGTGGTCGTAGCTGAGCGCCCCCCTTGCCAACAGCCCTTGTGCTTGTTTGATTATTCTCAACCCGTCCACTCAAGTGGGAAATCCTGCACGGTTGACGCATGATCTTCTTGGTGGAGTACGCCATGGACCAGCTCCAAAAAAGAAGGACCAGCCTTTGCTCTCATTCCTCAGTTGCACGTCAACCTGACGGTATCATCTCGGCTTCTCCCTTGCTTTCAACGTCACTTGCTTCATCGAGCCACTTGCTCAACAATGGTCTGTTCGCTTTCACGATTCCGGACTTGTTGCAATCCCGGTCGGGACACGTCTAAGTGGTTGTTGTTGTTGTTGTTGTTGTCCTCACTCATGATGTGAGGCACATGGTTGGTAGCACTCGAGCCCATCTCGTCCGGTGAGGGTGATTTTCTCGTAACAGAGCCATCCGCGTCTTGTTCGTGCACCAGCTTCTCAATGTTTTCCACCGTCAAAGGCATTGACGGCTCGCTGTGGGGCCCCTCGGATGCCTCGTGGTGAAGCAGTTGAGGCCCCACGAGCGAGAACAGCTTCTCGTCCCGCAATTTCCTATCCCTCTCCTCCGCATGGATACGTCGCATGGCTCTTTCACTCTCATTTTCGCTGGACCTGGCAAAGGCTGCATCGCTCTGGTAGTGGAGGCGGTCAAGTTCTGCGGTCAGTGCTTGCGCCGTCGTTTCAGATTCCAGAGACATGCCTGCCGTTCGCGGGTGATCACTAGCGCTAAAGTTGTTTCCAGGGTTCGGCACTGTTTTGCTCCGTCGATCCTTGTCATTTGTGCAAGGCGTTTCCCTTGCCGCTTTTCGCCGTCCTTCAAGTGCCCACTTGACAAGCATCTTTTGGTCGTTAGCGACTTCACTCGTTTGCTTAGGGAACCTACTTACCTTCTCCAGAATCTTTCCTTTTACTGGCTTTGCAAGATAGTCCTGTCAAGTTTCAGTAATTCTCGCTCTTCCATACACTAGCACATGTTTATCCCAGTACTCACATCCATTCCACACGACACGCACTTTTCCTTGTCCCCTTGGATTGCACTAGCTGTCATGGCAACAATAGGAACACCCTGAACCTCAGGCATGTTGCGCCAAGGGGCTTCTGTCCGAATAGCATGCGTGGCAGAGTAACCATCTCGAATGGGCATCTGTAATCATTCGTCAGTTGCCGAGCCAGTTCAGCCTTACATGGTTTACCTGCCTGGACGTCCATGAGGATGATGTCTGGACGTGGATGTAACGGGCCGAATTCTTTGGCCAGGTATTCAAGTGCTTCCTGGCCGTTCCACACTGCGTTGACTGAAAATTGCAATTTTTTAATCGTCTTGAGGGCGATTTGCTGGTTGATATGGCTACAGACGGTTTGGTGAGCAATTTCTTCAGTCATGATATTCTGGTGGAAAAACCTACTTGTCTTCGACGACTAGCACGTGGACATTTTGTCTTTCACTCTCAGAAAGACTCATAAACTGATCCGGTATGGCCGACTTGAACATGGGGTAAGCTGAAGTTCCGTTGGATATCTGTGGGGTTAAGGGCGGCGTATGGCCTTCAGAGCTTCCGCAGGAGACTGACATGTCACTCTGAAGCCGATCTGGTATAGACTCTAGATGCACCAACGGAGATTCGCCATCCTGTGAGGGGGCCCGGGTGAAGGGGATCCAGAATGTGGCTGTGGTGCCCTGTCCCAACTTGGAGTCGAGCCATATCTGGCCCTTCATGAGCTCAACCAAGTTCTTACTGATAGTCAGTCCTAAGCCAGTTCCACCAAACCTCCGAGCCGTGGATGAGTCTGCTTGGCTAAAAGGCTGGAACAGCCGTTTGCGAACCTCTTCTTCAATTCCAATGCCTGTATCGACAATGCTGAAATTGACCGTGACCGTCTCCTTTGTTTCATGGCTGATGGAAACGGACAGTTGGACAGTCCCTACAGATGTGAATTTGATGCTATTAGTGAGAACGTTGGTAAGGATCTGGCGAAGTCGGCCTGGATCTCCAATGACTCGTAGATCTGACTGTACTTCGTCCTGGATCAAACTCTGATATTCCAGCCCCTTTCTGTTGGCCGCAAAGGCCATCATTTTGTTGACATCCCTGAGCACCACGCTGAGACTGAACTGCACCTCTTCAACATCCAGCCGCCCGGATTCCACCTTCGAGAAACTAAAAAGGGGTTATAAAGTCAGCAAATCCTTCATGGTGAATGCGACAATCAATATTCTTGACAAAGAGAAATGACTTACTCCAGTATGTCATTGATCACTGTCAACAGACTGTTTGCTGACCGATGGATGTTCTCGGCGCATTCCTTTTGCTCCTCGTTGAGATCCATATCGAACAGGAGCTCACTCATACCAATGACTCCAGCTATGGGCGTTCGGATTTCGTGGGACATATTGGCCAGGAATTGAGACTTCATTCGGCTGGCCTCTTTCGCTGCCGCCTCGTTGGCCAGCAGCCTTGAGTTCTCCTTTTCTTGCTCTTTCAGCTGTTCTTCTCTTTCCCGTAATTCTGTAATGTCCATCGAGACGCCTATAACACCATCCACAAAAGCTTGACTTTCGATACCTGCTGTCCGCGATGTGCTCATCAGTGGTACTAGGCGGGTTCGATAATAGCGATTCTCAGACATGTAACCGCCATTGACGATTTCATCTGACTGTTTGCCTTGGAGGATTTCTTGTATCGGGCCGCGCCAACGCTCTCGGTTATTATCAGTAAATTCAAAAACGTCGTACACGTCTTTACCAAGCAATTGGTCCTTTGACAAGTGTTCGTTGGCATCAATATCACCCTCAAGCACCTTGACCCGATTATTGCGGTCGATAACCCACAAGACAATTTTTGCGTGTTGGATGACCTGTTGCAGTTGCTCCCTTGTTTGTCGCGCCTCTTGACGTGCCAACACTAGGTCATGGATGTCGGTACAGGTGCCGAACCACTTTACTATCCGGCCCGCGTCGTCGTAGAAGGGCACCGCTCGTCCCAACATCCAACGCCATTGTCCGTCGAAGCGTTGACATCTGTACTCTGTGTTGTACTCGTCCCCCGTTTTCAGAGAGTGGAACCAACGCTCAGCTGTTGCGTGCATATCGTCGGGGTGGAATGGAAGCCGCCAGCCTTCGCCCAAGGACTTATCCACTGTCAAGCCTGTATAGTCGTACCATCTCTTCGAGAACCAGTCGTGCATGCCATCTGGGGTAGTCGTCCATACCATGACGGGCATAAAATTTGTAATATACTCGAATTGCTTTTCGTTCTGCTCAATCTGCTCCGCAATCTTCTGGGTGTATTCTGTAACGTCCTTGAACACCACTATGCCACCAAGAAATTCTCCCGTCTCTTCATGAAAAACCGGTTCGCCGTTGACTTCGTACACCATCCCAGAGCCTGTCACAGGGTGTCTAATGCCAAGCCGATGTTTCTCAACTCTTTTCTTGTGGCGGCAGACTTCAATGATAGGAAATTCTTCTATCGGAAGGCGACGTTGGAAGTCTTCGGTCCAACACGAGAACTGTGCAAGAAAATCTCTTTGGTCGCCAGAAAGGTAAGATGTGTCTTTGGGCACGAGTCGCAGTAGCGCTTTGTTTGGTATACCAAAACTCTCGTCTTTCCACATTGCTTTGGAAGTGTTAGCAAAATACGGACATCTTAAAGGAAGAAGAAGAAGAAGAAGAAGAAGAAGAAGAAGAAGAAGAAGAAGAAGAAGAAGAAGAAGAAGAAAAAGAGAAACATACCATAGGCAGGCATGGTAATAGAATTAAGAATGGCGTCTTTGAGCTGTGTTGCTTTCTGAAAGACGGATGCGGAATTTGCAATGTCACTCTTATTTTTGCTAGGAGGACCACGGGGAGGGAACTCTGGCTGCTGCAGGGTGGGCGTGACAATCTTGGATGTGGTATTTGAACTGTTGTTGGAACGTCGGCTCGAAGATGTACTTGAGCCCGAGCTGCGTGACTTGTCGAGCCTCACTCCGGTATTTGTGCGATTTACCATGCGCGTAGACGGTTGTGCTTTCTTGGAATCCTGTGCTTGTGTTGCGCTTGTAAAGGTCAATGTGTAGTATTGAGTGTCTTCAATGCTCCATATTGAAACGATGCATGATGCTTGTACTGCGTCACTGTATGATCCTTTTCTGTCACACTTTTGCAGGGTGTCGTCGGAGCCTATAGCAAGTGGTACGACAACCACGTCCACCGATACATCATGTACCGTGGTCCGTGCAAGATTTGTACTACTCAAAGGCGGCAGAGATTGGGATTGCTGCTTGTTCTGTTGATGACCGGTGTTGTCTGCAGTGGGTGTGGTGTGTCCGCTCGTCATATAAGAGTCTCCGTCTGTGTCCATGTTGTCCGCCACTGCATCGTTTACAACACAATCGAGGAAGGCCTAGACATGCCATCTGTTAGCTGACTTGGATAAAAAGACCACACACATGAAGACCAACCTCCCATGTGATCAGGATCGGAGAACCGTTTTGTATAATATCTACACCCAGTTCTCCCATGGTCTTGCCCTGCAAGGCCTCTGTTATGGAGAGATGATGGATACTTTCAAAATCAATATTGAACAGCCGGCCCAGGGCTTCATTGGCCAGTATTACAGTCTTCTGTGATGACAAGACAAGGACTGGGATTGGCAAATATTGTAGCGCAGTGAGGGACGCAATGGTGGCCGAGGGCGCAGTCAAGTGCATGGACATGGGATCGCTACGTATGGAGCTGGGAGACTCTGGGCGGGAGCGCGACTCCATTGCGAAGTAATCGCCCTCATTGCCGGCGATATCTTCAGTCATTACGGTGGCGAGGTCGTGACAAGGTGTATGTAGGTATGTAAAGATTGTTTCTCGCACCCTGGTCGGTGCGGAGATAGTGGCCGTAGCACCGAAGGAAGGACGCCGGGAGGCTGGATCGTCTCAAGGAGACTGGGCGGTGGCGAGCAGCGGGCTTCCTAGCACAGGCATAGGGGCAGCCGCGTGCAATAAGGCGCGAGGGAGAGGAAAGGCTGAAGGGGCCTCTGGGGCTAGTGGGCAGAGTGACGGCGGGAGACGTTAGGAAGAACGCCTGCAGAACAGAGGAGAGCACAGTCGATGGGCATTCGAAGTGGGGATTGAACGACAAGGCGTAGAGGCGGGCAGATCAGTTCTAGACCAGACAATCGATTAGCACATGGGGCAAAGAAGCTTCTGCCAGCTGCCGAGGCTGCAATGTGTCGAGGATTTTCTCAGCAGTCGCCCGCCCAAAGGATGCTGCTGTATGTGTGTCCTATGTGTACATTGGCACATAGGCAGGTCAAGAGCAGGGTAGTCAAAGCCGCACAAGCGATTCTAGAACGCCATCTTCGCCCCGACCGCCCTCCTGGCGCAACGAGAATGACGCCACTCTGCATGTTGGCTAAATAGGCGCCAGGACAGTGCACGACCAGCGCCGGCCATGGCCTTCTCTCCGCGCCTGGCTATTCGAGCTTTGCAAGATCAACATGTTGGCAGAAGGGTTCGCGATGCAGAAACGCGCGCCGGGCCCGCCATGGCCTTAGCGATCAAGCGATCATCGCCGGAACCCTGGACTGCATTCTCGCGGCTCGCGCACATCTTCAACTTGGATCACCCCGACTACACGTGTCAAATCCCACTGATTGCCGATCGGTTTCCTGTGCTTGGGACGCAATCCCTGCATGCATGCATGTATTAGCTATATCATCAGCGCAACCCACTGTGGTTGATATGGGGACTACTAACCAAGGATCGCATGATCCACCATTAGAGAAGGGATAGTATGCACAGCTGTCTTGCCATAGAGCATGGCGATTCAGACTGAATTTACATCGAGGTCGAGCATCAGTTTTGTTTGTCACAATCGGGGTTCTTTTTTTTCATGTTACAGTGCACAGTCAGGCATACTGAATGCTCTGGTGCATGTCCAATAGTGTGATCACGAGGATTATATATATCTACTCGATATATTAGCTACATACGTTTTCTTTTCTTTAGCGATCTGACGTGTCGCAGGTATGCATAACAATCGTGGAAACGCGACCCAGTACACTATTTCGCAGATCGGATATGGATGCTTACATAATCCAAAGTCCTATGATGCTTGACCCTGGCGAACGACAACTGTCTTTCTCACATACAGCCGCAGCAACACCACCGCTCTAGTCCTCGTTCCTAGTGTTGCTTTTACAAAAGTCACGCCAATCGGCAGGGCCACTGAAATCAGACGTCAAAAATGTTTTTCTTCGGGCTGGGAGGGCTGTTCTATGGTATTCCTCGTCAAATCGCATTGGACAGACCAAGTCGCTAACACGTCTAGTTGCTGTACTCCTCATTAATGCCATCGCTATCCTCTCCGAAGACCGCTTTCTGGCACGCAGTACGTTTGATCCGATTCGACGCCCTCCGTCCCTCCTTGTATCCTCCCGCACGCGCATCAGCTATATCAATTATTTGGGACACACGTATACTGACTATGAACAGTTGGTTGGACAGCATCGGCAGACCCCGGCTTCCCTGGCCAGCGCGATGACTCGAGCGTGAAGGCACGACTGATTAACCTCGTCTCCTCAGTACGAACATTGATGCGGAGTATGTCTACCCCTCCGTCAGCCGTTGGCAGCCATGCTCCCCACATGGTTTCCCTGGAAAATGTTTAGGATATACGGACTGACCTTCACGTAGTACCGTTAATGTTCATCAATACCCTTATGATAATATACCTCATCGTTCTTGGATGATCGAGGCACATATGGAGCCGGAGGATGCTGAAAATGCTATAACATGCATAATCACAACATCGACAGAACGAGATTACAAGACGCGTTTACAGCGCCATTACCAGGACATGAGTACGTAGAAGAACTTCGGGGGGGTTTCCACGAGGCCAACAGAAACGGCCGTGCCGGCGGATTTGCATCGTACTTAGCAAGGCGTTGGGGTTATGGGACTCGGCCACTCGCATGTAAAGCGTTTGTGCCACGGAACCTACCACTGCTGTGGATTATGGTTTCGAATGTACAAGATCAAAATTATGAATTGTCTAGTATTTTGGTCAGTTTCTATGCAAATGGGCAATATCACTCATATATTATTTACTGGTGAGGCAGGTGTAGGCATGGAACAGGGAGACCGGATCGCCATTGCAAACATCCCAAGGGATATAACTCTAATTGTCACTAGAATGCTCTATTGATGCGCACCAGAATCACAACTCTGTCTCTTTTTCTTTCCCCTACGAATCACAGGATTCCACCAATATGGTCATTTTGTTAAACCAACAACGCTTTTGTCACTAGGAAGCTGTTCTGTGACCTAACTTATGAACAATTGCATCCCACAATCATGTTTCTTACCTTGCACTGCTCTCCCTTACAACCTCGCCTGCCCTCCGACCTCCAACAAATTCTCAATTGTCGTCGTCCACAACTTCGCCCTCTCTTCACTAATAGCATTCAAATCGTAACTCACTCCAAACCTCACAATGCCCTCTGCATCAGTCGAACTTCCCACCAAAAACTCATTCTCCCTTGCCCTAACACCTAACTTTACATCTCGAAAATCTGCTGCAAAATCACTATCCCCCAGATCTTGAAGATCATAAGTGCCCCGCTTGAAAAATGCTGCAAGAGATCCCACAGACGAAACACCGCACGTCGCTCTAGGTCCCGCTGTACTGAGTGGAAGCGAGCCTTGCGGGCTGCTGTAAAACGAGGAGCGTCGTTCAGGCGGTAGCTTACCTCGAACCATCTCGATTTGCGCAACATATCCCGCTGCAAGAAGACGGACTGGAGAGTGCTTGTCTAGTATACCCACCGCGCCGGCCGTATCTTTTCCCTTGAGCCGCTTCTGGTAGCCTTTTAGTTCGCGGTTCGCGTGCTTGGCTACTAATTTGAATCTGCCTTCGATGGGAAGTTCCGAGTATAGGAAGGGCATGACGATTCCTTCGTTCAAAGCGAGCATGCATGATTCCGGGGGCGGGGGTTTGACGAACCAGGCGCGCGGGTTTAGTGGGAAGGATGCCGTGAAGGAGGGGTGTTGGGATGAAGGATTCAGTGCTTCGTGGATCGACATCATGGCTAGACCTGTGAGAGCAAAGCAACCGGCGCCTATGGAGACTTGTGCCGAACGGCAGAGCGATATGAGGCGGGAGGAGGCGGAGGCGGAGAGCGCAGCAGTGATGTGTCCACATGACATTGGTGGTCGTGATGAAGCACTGTAGTCAAAGATTTTGTCAAATTTTGGTTCCAATGGTATTGGAACTTCCAGTCTCCGTTCGTGGCGAAGCGGGTTCGTAAATGTCGGTGGCAAACCTTTGTGTACATGACGCAACACGCGGATCAAAGCCCAGAACCAGCGTTGCCTTGCTCTGTTCCCGACAATGGGTGGATACAGGTCTTCTTGAGCTGCTGGTAGGATAGCCTTTATTTTGTCTGATTTTCGGGATACCTCGATGTCCGCTAAGATTTCGTGAATTGGCTGGTTCATAATGCGATTGAAGTGACTGAACCAGTTGTACGCCGACAAGCCATCGGAGATTTGATGCGCAATTACTATGAGGAGGCGAAGTGAGAATGTCCCGTCCGGAAGACGTGTAATGGGTAGAACGTGTATTTTTGACAGGCATTTCCTGGGCTCAATAATTCTGGTCACGTTGAACGCGTGGTGGTAGATTTCTTCGTCGTTGACTTTGTCATATGCATCTTCGATCCAAACGATGTTGTCCTTAACAGCTTGGATAGCGGCATCCTGTGTAGAGGGTATATCCACTGCGAAGCTACGGATTCCTGTATCCGGGTCGTCATGGACACGTGCCAGAAGAAGAGGGTGCTGCAGGCGAAGAGAAGTCCATGCCAAGGCTATTCTATACCGGAGTTCGTCTTTTGAGAGTTTGTGCTGGATAGCCAAGGTAAAGAAACTAGTCATATCTATAAGATGCTTAGTTGGTATTATAACTTAATTCGGTCTAGAATACCGCTAAGAGTATTCTCCATAGCCTAGAATATAGCAGAACGAGGTTGGGGACTGCACTGAAAGCTCATATACATACCTGCCCGACCGCCATAGTATGTGCCATCGGCGTCAAAAGAGGTTTCCACTAGTCCCAGGGGACGCTGAAATACATGATTTCCGTTGGGGGAAATTGACACCTTCCAAGCAGCGTGGTTATTTGCATACTTGTCTAGCCAATGGCCCTGCTGTTGTTGCCGCACCATCGCGCCTCTGGTGTTCTCTTCTCAGAACAGCGAATTCACTACTGTTATTCGCCAATAGATGTATGTAGAGATTAAAATGACTAAGCTGGATAAGATGTGTGGAAACGGATGAATGTAAGCGTTCTTATACAGACTGAACATATGTACGCGTAGCCGAAGTGCAAGGAAGTGGGTCGGTTTGCCTATTGCGGTATGCTTTTCGGCCTGGCCGATACGAGTCATGAACGGTTTAGATACGTACAGTTTGATCGCCAGCTGTCATCATGACGCTAATCTTGAAGTGCTTCACTACACTTTGACTATGTGAGTCCATTATGAATTCGTGCCTTTGATGAGATGCGATATGGCGAATATATGGGCACAGGATCGCTTTGCGCAATGTGTTCTTATTACAACCATA